GTATTTATTTCATTTATTATAATTATTTGATTCTGTATGTTGGTGATTATAGTGGGCCTCCCAATACCAGGAAAATTCGGCGAACATGCAGATTCCCGCACATTCCGACAAGCCAGCAGGCACATTAGCCCATCGTCCTGCTGTCATACACCGGAGCCCACGGTGAGTTGGCCCCAACTTGTCGACCCGCATCGGTAGTGCCCTAGGCATCGATACCAATGTACTCGGGAACCGAGGATTTTCCACCCCCCACACACGGCCCAATCGTGTGTCGGCTCTGCTCTTATCGGGTCTCAGCAGAACCGTTTGGTAAGGGGCACACTATATATATATATATATATTGATTGATTGACTTGTATGAACATATGAATATTGAGAAATACCGGGAATGACATGCATTTGCTGAATTGAATACATTTTTTTGATCATATATATATATATATCTTGATTGATTGACCTGTATGAACATATGAATATTGAGAAATACAGGGAATGACATGCATTTGCTGAATTGAATACATTTTTCTTTGATCATATGTATTGATTGTTTGACCTGTATATAACATTTGAATATTGAGAAATACAGGGAATGACATGCATTTGATGGATTGAATACATTTTTTACATCATATATATTGACATGCATTTCATTCAACTTACATGATTGTCCAAGTCCTTGGATTTCCAGCACTTACGCTAAAGGTCTTGTTTTCCTAGGTCGTAGGAAACATGGTCACATTTAAGGTCTCCGGATGCTTAGGGCCTGTAACTTACAACCGTGCGACGTCACTACAGAGTATTACGTTTTATATCAGGGCTTGCTTTTTGCCCATGTAGGCCAAGAAAGCTTAGGGTAGGAGGGTTTAGGCCTTTAGGGTAGGAGGGTTTCCGCTTGTTTATGTCGTGGGTCGTTTGCAGCGTTCCGACGCTTCTGGCGCCTGCGTTGCACCGCCAGCTTGTGCCAGAGCACACAGGGTCAGGGAGTCAGAGGTGTCGTTTGTGATGAGGCCGTTGGTTGGCCCTGGACTTCAGATCTAGATGCCAGGGTAAAGCACAGATTTGGCTTCGCAACTCGCACAAACTCCGGTGACTCTGGCCTGCGTTTGAAGTCTGATGAGACGTTGGTGACTGTAAGGCTTTGGAGTGATCATCGCACAGTCCGTGGCGGATCACTGCAGAGGTGGCGGAGTTTGTACGCCAGATGCTCGTTCGGCACTTGAACATCTTAGGAGTCACAATGTTGTGCTGACAAGCTCTACTGGTGAACGCTAGAAAGCCGGATGTTTGCAAGCATGTCGAAAGCAGCCACGGTTTTCGTCCACAGAGCTCACGTCGTCGTCATTCTTAGAACAAGCGAAGGCCATGCAACAGATGACAAGATGAGGTCAAGTCGTATTCCAGTTGCCGACTCCTGCTTTCACCCACGTGTCTAGCAGGCTGCATACAACGTTTGGTGCTTGAGTCCTGCTGATGTTGCAAAACTAGTGGCGACTGTCGGACAATTGCAGTGGCAGTCAGATTGCTAGGGGAAGCTGATCACCCCAGCGAGGGTGGTGCATTGTGCTGCTCTGTGTTGGAGATTCCAGATCCCCGATCTGCTTTGCAAGGGTTGCCCAGGTTTGCTGGATGTTCCCGTGGTTTCAAGTTTCAATCCTCCCGGGACAACTAACCGTTCTAGTGGACGCCAAGTCTTTCTGTATGCATAATCCATACAGGCACGTGTATGTGAAATACGCTTCTGCGTTATAATTGCATGTCTGTGTGCTATTTGCATGCCTGTGTGTGTTCTGATATATGGTATAGTCTTGCATTGTATTGAGTTGCATGTGTTGCATTACGCTACATCGTATGGGTATCGTCATCATATTGCGCTGTATAGTACTGCTTTGTCTTACCTTGTCCCGTCCTAAGTCCTGACCTGTCCTGTCCTGTCCTGCACTGCATGTTTGTTTCTGCCGCATGTGTGTATTGCATTGCTGTGCTGTGTTGGTGTTGTGGCCCAGGTCTGGCTACATTAACCGTTTACATTGGCATCAAGTCTCACAGTCACCCAGGCCACCCGCCAGCCCACCCACCCACCCACACAGATGCACAGACACTCAGACACAGAGACACAGAGACACAGACTCGCACACAAACGCACACGCACGCACACACACACACAAACACACACACACACACACACAGAGACACACACACACACACAGACACACACACACACACACACACACACACACCCGCGCGCGCGCTCCAGCCCATGCCGCACGACACGACAAAAAACAACATACGAACAGCTAGGTAGCTGTACATCTATGTATGCATATATACTGGCTGTTCTTGTGTAGTTACACATATGCATGTTTATAACATGATATGTATAAATAATATATGTGACATCTGTCAGGACAGATACTTTAATGACTTTAAAGATTGCCACGGATCCCAGAGGAAGCCCTGGGCTAAGGAAGTCATTTACTACTGGTCAGGGGTGCGCAACTGCATGCTGACGCTCTTCCTCGCGATCACAGGAGGTATAAGCCACTCGGCAGTACCATACTCCTTTTGTGCAGCAGTTGGAGCGAGCCCCGGTTTCATGACCCAAGATTGCTGGGATTCCTGAACACCTCGAGGCTGGAATGATGCCCTGGATCCATTGTGGAAAGTCTCCACAGTGGCAGTTGTAAGCTTGGTTCTGTGTCTCGGCTCCAACCAGCATCACGTTTTGGAAGGTCGCGGGGCACAGCTGCGCTTGTTGGTTCTCTTTGCTTGGACTTGTACATGCCACACTTCTTCAAATGAGAAGTCTAAACCTGATATGCTGCCGACCCTGAATGCTTCTGATGCTTTGAGGGTCGTAGCTCTACGACGGGATTCCCCTGCATGTCGGAGGGGTTGGGGGACTGAGAGTCTGTAGACCACTTTCTTCCAGAGCCTTGTTCATCAACCCAGCCTCTTGAACCCCTTGATGGTTTCATTCCATGCCCTCATTATCAAATGCTTATGGTGGTCCACTTCTCACTGCCATGCGGTGCTGATGTTTTGATCCTAATTTTGTTGCAGAGATGAACGTGTAGCACACGGGTGTGCGAAGTGACAATTTTTGCGTAGTGCACGGAGTGTACCCAGTGACATGTTCGAGCATGAACTCTGTGCGATTCCGCTGTTTGCTTGCTCGAGCTTGAGCATATGCAAAGAGCAAGGTTCTTTCTCAAAACACCCGCCCTCCGCCCAAAAACTGGTGGGGTGGCAGGTAAGGCCTTCCGCAAGTGCTCTGTTTACTAGGCGGAAGAGACCTAGCCTGACCGCCGCCTGCCAGTGTCCTGCCAAAAAGCGATGGCTCGTGCGTGTCGACTGTAAGTTTGTTGAATGTGCAGAGTGTTATAGCTCGATGTCTGCTTTCATGCTCACACTGGTCGACCTCGAGGAGCGTCAACCATCCACTTGAACATGTTCATGTCCGCGGCCATTTTGGTATAATATTCGCTCTTTACGGTCTTTCTTCTCCCACCCTCCCATCTTGATTTTCCTCTGCTTTCTGTCTGCGAGTTACCGACCAGGAAACGGTCGGTCCTCTGTGTTGCGTTCACGCTTTTGTATGTGCCCGCGTTGCATGTTTTTATGAAATCCTGGCCTGGCTTCATTTGAGATCTCGGGAGATGGTTGAGATGGGGTAGTCGACAAGGTCGAAGCCGGTCACGCACTTTCACATTCTAACATAGACGATGCAACTCATAAAGAAATTCGGGAGTTCGCGCGCCGTGCAGATCCAGACGGTTCTTGCGTGGGGTTAGCTAGATGATCGCAGTGATTTGGTTCTTCTTTCACATAGCCCGTCGAAGCTCATGACACGGGATGGGTCGACATATGCCGTGCGATCCTGATGGTGTGGTTGTTGGAACATTGAAGTGGAGATGACGGTTAGAAGATTTGACAACTGCACATTATTGTATTATGCTTAACTACCGACCAATGTCATTGTAGTGTGATTTATGGGACCAACATGCACACCCCAAGATTGTTTGCCCGACGTGGAACATATCACAAAGTTCTTGTTCTTCCAGGTACATCGTAATCACGATCTTCGCTGTGCTCAATGTGGTGACAGGAGCCCTTCGGCCAATCATTGGGACACTATGTTTCGGAGTGTTGTAGCACAGTGTAGGACCCAAAACGGAATGAGGTCGATGGTCGCAGAATGTGCAAAATTGCCTGGTAAATTTGTCAGAATGGCAATGACATGTCGGTATGTGGTGGTTACATAGCCTCTTGTAGTGCAATTTGTCGTTTCGGTTGGTGACCCCATTTCGTTATTCCCGCTGGTCAGGCATGCCTGCTGCACAACCTGCAGCGAGACATGCAGCACATGCAGCGTAAGTTCCACCAAAATATGCAATATCCGAATTCCCCGCACCGAGGGCTTGCTTGTTTTTTTGATCGTCCGGCGAGGATCATGAACTTTTTCGGATGTCAGGATAAAGGGTTCAGGCAGTTCAGGAAATGATGCAGTTTTTGGGAGAGTCATCTGTTTGGACTGAGCACAGAGTCCTGCGGCCTCCTGATGCTTATTTACATGGCTGACACATCTACAAGCGAAGCGATTCCTGCTGTTTCGCACACATTCCAGGTCTTCTGCAACACGGCGATAGAGAGCGCTGCTGCCGACAAGGAGCGAACCATGATTTTCGGACAGCGGAATGGGTGTTGATCCCTTGCTTATAGGCATCCGATCTGCATGAGGTCGGGAATGCAAAGCTTGGAGCCACGCTTCGAAACGCGGGTTGGCCACGTAGCGCCTGTAGCTAGCTGTGTTTGGCTGCACTTTGCACTGGCACATTCAGACGGTTTGCACCATCAACATGCCAGGATATTGCCATCATGAAGCAGATGCACAAACATGAAGCGCAAGTCCAGTCGCAGAGCCCAGCGCGACGGTTGTTCGTTACCAATTTGGAAGGGTTTGGAAGGCTGCTTGGGACGGGTCATGTTTTGGGTGTTCTAGTTACGCAGCGACAAGTTGCACCTACAGAATGGTTTGGGGAGCAGAGTGCAACCCAGTACTTTGGCCACGTTCCGGCCTTGCGTTTGTCCGCTAGCTCTGTACCAAGCTGCTTCTGGAGACACTATAGTATATCAGATGATCCGGCACGGTCATGATGCACTTGCTAGACGTGATCCTCCTCATGTCACGCCATAACGACGAGCATGACGAGCAATGTCGCAATGCCCATCTCCTGATTCGAGAAAAAGCCAAGTTCTGTTTTTGTTAAACACGTTTATCAAGTGAAGGAGCTGCCTTCGACATGGTTTCAGCGGGCTTGCCGGTAAATGCAGTTGACAATGTCTACGAAGTACGATTCTTGAAGTCAGTAGACCGGACCAGCAGAACATCGAGAGCCAAACAGAGTACTACTTCTGCTTCTCGGACCTTCGAGGTCTGCCGGTGCCTGAAATTTCTCAGGTCTTTGAGGGAGATTTTCGCAGAGATTGATACGGACTGCTCGAACATGATCACCCTGGCCGAGCTGAAGGTCCGGGCATGCTATCATGCATTCTGGGAAAGGTATCACATCTGAGTGTTTGCTAATTGTGGTGTTTTGCTTGTTTCGCGAGCTGTGCTGCATAGCTTAGGATGCCTTCAAGGTGAGCACCCCAAACAGGGTTTGCGGCCGAGTGACTTTTGTGTTAGTTGGTGGTTAGATGGAAGTTAGCAGTTAGCGCCGAGTGAGCAGGGTGCAGGTGCCCTGCAGCCCTGTTGACCTGGTGTTTGGACCGCGCGCGCTAAGTCCGGATGTTTGTGCAAGCAGGAGGCATCAATTTCATATCCAGGCTACTGTACTTGTTGAACCCGGGTTAGGTTTGGAAGCCTTGCCTGCAGGACGCCTTAAGAGGCCACAAGCTTAAGAACTTCATGGAGTCCATGAACATCTCGACTCAAGACGTTTGGACCCTATTCATGCTGCCTGGCTGAGAGGTTCTACACGTATGGGTTTATATCGGCTACAGGTGATACGTTCTGGAGCTTCAGATGTTCGTGGGCATTACAGGGCCTGTCAAAGGTCCTGCATGTGTTGGCTTCAGCAGAATGTGCCGTGTGAGGTTAAGGGCTTGGCGTTGTCCGAATCAATTGCCCATTGCAGCAAAGCCAGACGCAGCCCGTAAGTCAGAGCAACCACAGCATTACAGAATGACAGAGGAGTAAACAAACTAGCCACAGGCGATACACAGTAACAATAAGAGCTACATTGATAGCAACTTGACTGTACATGTGCATATTGCAATGTCCGACAACATCCTTCAGCAGCGGCACGTCTTGTCTCCGGGTTCAGGTTCGTGAGTATGTGGCCCGCGGGAGTAGTCGTCGCAGTAGCAGCAGCAGCAGCAGCAGCAGTAGTAGTAGCAGCAGCAGCAGCAGCAGCAGCAGTAGCAGTAGCAGTAGCAGCAGCAGCAGCAGTGGCAGTGGCACTGGGAGTGGGAGTAGGTGTAGGAGTCGTTGTGGCCTGTTTTATTGGAGTTTGTGCTGTTGTCGTTGCTGTCGTTGCCTTTGATGCTGTTGTTGCTGTTGTTGTTGATGGTGGTGGCGGCGGCGGCGGTGGTTGCTTGGTGTTGTTTGTTGGCTGTTGGCCGTTGCTGTTGCTGTTGTTGTAGTCGTTGTTGGTGGTGGGGGTGTTCGTGTGGGTGTTGGTGTTATTCCCAGTGCTGGTGTTGGTGTTTTAGTGTGTTGGTGTTGGTGGATGCTGGTGCTGGTGCTGGTGCTGGTCGCGGTGGCGGTGGCGGTGGTGGTGGTGGTGGTGGTGGTGGTGGTGGTGGTGGTGGTGGTGGCGGTGGTGGTGGTGGTGGTCGTGGTCGTGGTCGTGGTCGTGGTAGCAGTAGCGGTAGCCGTAGCAGTAGTAGCAGTAGTAGCAGTAGTAGCAGTAGTAGCAGTAGTAGCAGTAGTAGCAGTAGTAGCAGTAGTAGCAGTAGTAGCAGTAGTAGCAGTAGTAGTAGTAGTAGTAGTAGGAGTAGTAGGAGTAGTAGTAGTAGTCGTCCTCGTCGTCGTCGTCATGGTGGTGGTGGTGGTGGTGGTACTAGGGACGGGAGAAGGAGGAAGGCGAGTAGGACCAGCAAAAGTCGTGTTCGCAACCCCCCCCCTCGGTTGTGATTGTTGCTGTTGCTATTGTCGTGCGTGCAGATGATGCTGCTGCTGCTGCTGTCTGTGGTTCTGTTGTCATGATCTTCAGGCTTTTGCTACTATACCTTACAACTCATAGCAGCCACAGCGATGATGATGGTGACTGTGATGGTCAAGAAGAAGAGGCTTATGTTCACGTCTGTAATCACCTGTGAGTCTTATTCTTGCACCGCTTCTCCAATTCCTTCTGCTGGTGCTGTTGGTGGAACTGCTGTACCACCACGAACAACGTGAGAATAACAGCCGGCCGCCTGTAACAGACATCATCGTCATCCGCATCACCATTGTGATCGTCGCCATCATTTCCATCGCCAGCACTGTCCCACAGCGTATAAAGAGGGAGCGAAGTAGAGCTGGAGGAGGGCGATCGGGATCACGAGGACGTTGTTTTCGACACTTGTCAGTGTCTGAATCTTCGAGAGTCACTGCCCATTCCTTACGAAGCAGGGTGGTTGACGCTGACGCGTCCGGTGAGATCTCCTTAGATGAGCTGCTTGGCTCGACTATGCTGCAAGTAAGTGGAAATTGAAAATACGCTTGAGGTCTGAGGTTCAATTACCGTACAGGCTCCTCAGCTTTCATGTAAGTTCAGGGACCCCAAAAGGACATAAGCATAAGCATTTTACAGGGATATCCCTACCGTGTTGGTCTTTGTGATACCCTATCCTTCCTTTTGCTTATGTGCTGTTTCGGGGTCCCATGTAAGTGCCATCTTGCGATTCCTTTGGGACATTCTGTCTGTATTT